TGCAGCCCCCTTGGAAATGGATCTCCTGCCGAAAAGCAAATACTCGCCTTTGCACGATGAATCTCCCTCGTCCCTGGACGAAGGCGCTGCGGCCCCCGAGAGGGGCTCGCCCCCCGCGGAAGCCCCCTCGCTCTCCAGCTCTCAGTCGTCCTCCTCCCTCAGCCCCATGCTGCCGTGGGGGGGCCTGTCTTCCGAGTCGGAGGAGAGCCCCACCACGCTCTGCTCCTTCTTCCCCAAGATGGCTAATCTGAAGCTGGCCACCCCGGCCTCCCTGCTCAGCCTCCGGCCCTTTTCTCGGGAGACGGAGGCGGCCCCCGGGGAGCCTCCGGCCGCGGCCCCGCCGCACTCAGCCGTGGCTCTTGGTCTCTATTCCCAGGTTATGAACAAGCTGATCTGCGGGAAGAAGATGCGGGTGGAAGGCGGCCAGCTGGGGGGCGACGAATGGACGCGGCACGGCAGTTTCGTGAACAAGCCCACCCGGGGCTGGCTGCACCGCGACGACAAGGTGATGGGTTCCGGAGTCTCCTACCTCGTCCGGGTGAGTGAGCCCAGGGGCGCCGGGGTTGGGGCGAGGCTTGCACGCTGGGGGGGCAAAGCGAGCGGGGCAAGGCTGGCGAACGGTCACGGCGGAAACTTTACGCTCTCGGAAAAGCTACCTTTTCGTGCCCTGAATGGCCACAAAATCGATATTGCTTCCTTCAGGAGTCGGGAGCTCTTTTAGACACGATTGATTGATGAGAGGGATCCGGCTGCCAAATCGGAAAGCCTCAAGGCCTTCTTCAAGTCACTTGCCGCGGGAAGAATGCCGTGCCCCGGGCGTTTCTGCCCGCTCGAACCCCTGGCGAGTGGAGGAAGAAGTCCTGGGGGTCAGGAGGGCTAGAAACTTGAGTCTTTTTTGAAAGGGAACTCTTGGGCAGGACAAGGGGGCAGCTTTTCCCCAACTTCTGCAGGCTGTAGGGACCTTCTGCTCCTTTCTTGGCCCCGGGGAAGTGAACCGCGCACGTTTCGTTGTGCAAATTTCTCTAGGCCTAATGGGGCAAGTGTGAAAATGTCTTTTTTCCCCCAGATGCCCCTTTGGTGTGCCCTCTCCCTGTCCCTTCCAGCCCGCGCAGCCTCCTTGCAGCCCCGCAGACTGATCCAGTGTTTCTCAACCTTGGCCACTTTAAGAGGGGGGGACTTCAACTCCCAGAATTCCCCAGCCAGCCTCTGGGGAAGTCCCCCCCTCTTAAAGTGGCCAAGGTTGAGAAACACTGGACTAATCCCTTGGCATGAAAACACACAGCAGATAAAGAGAACTGACGTTTTTCCCCCCTACCCAACAGCCACCCCGATCCGTATTGATCGGTGAGAGTCCCCCGATTGTCCACCATACCCAAGGAGGTGGGTTCAGACACACCTGCATAATGTACATGAACTTCTGTAGCAGCTAACTTAATAGACGAGGATTCATCCGTGGAAGAAGAGGGGGGGTCTTGGCTACGTCCCCAATTGGGGCATTTTAAGATGGGGGATACAGAGCAAAGGTGGGGTGACTTGTGCCTCTGGACCACTCTGAGCTGTCTGAAAAATAATTTGCACTTTAGTGATTCATTTTAGGGCTCCGAGGAAGCCTCCCGTCCAGTTATATTAGCCGTTTATTTTGACCCCGCGAAGGAGCGGATTTTTGCATCCAGCGTTTCCACGCTGAGCTCCTGGCACTTTTGAACCGATCCGGGGCTTGGCACCGCTCAAACGTTGCATTCTCAGCTTTTTCGCTTTGGGTTTTAAATGCTTTCTGAAGGAGGCCGGGATCAGATCGGTTTGGAGGGGTTTCAGATTAAAAAAAAACACTTTATCGTTTGCTCTACAAATTGTCTTTGTTTTCTTAGGAGAAGGGGTGGACTGTATTTTAATGTGTAATCATAGAGGAGGAACCAGGTTCAGAGCAGAGAAGGAGGGTCAACAACAGCCAACCCGGATAGAACCTCCATGGATGGAATCACTCTATCTTTAAATACTAGTTGGAGGGCAACCAGGGGGCCGAAATGATTGTTTCTCACCCTCCGAATCCGGTTGGCTTTCCTTTTGGATCCTTAACAAAGCAAAGGGGAGGTCTAGCGCCCCAGATCACGTGCAGAGTGCTTCGCTGGGGGGCTGATCAGGAGCAGATCTCCCGTGGTAGATTAAGGGGAGCGGGTGCTCCGTCAACAGAAGTGTCGGAGGCTGTTTTCACAGCCCAGCTGCCCTAGTTCACAGGCAGAAGCCCAGGTCTGTGGCTGAGAAATTTTACACGTGTGCGTGCGACAGGAAGGTGTGAGTTTTTCAACAGCACACACCCCTTTCCTTCCCCTTCTGGCACATCCTCTTAGCCAGTATAGAAATACATCTCTGCTGTTCACCGAGAGGTATACAGATCCCCCTCCTGTATCCTGCTGGCTCACGAGGACCACATCTGGGCTTGCTCTGCTGCTCCGTCCCAAGTTTACGACCGGTTTAACGATCTGTTTAACGACCGAGCCCCTTGTACGTAATGATTTCAGCAGCAGAGGCAGGAAAATCGTTGGCTTGGGGGACTCTAGAAAGCACACTGCCCAGCTGGCATCCTCTTAGATATATTGGACAGTGAGTCCCACAATCCCTTACGGTCGGCCCCACTGCCTGGGGGTTGCTGGGATATTGAGTCCCAAATTCTCCAGGGGTTTCAACCTTCCACTGGAACCTGCCGCGTTTTTATTCCCCCTAAACCTCCATGAATCTAGAGGGGGCTGATGGAGGAGCTGATAAATAACCATGCACCGATTCCTTCGGCATTTACTATCTCTGCAATCCTTCTCGCCCGCAGTATATGGGTTGTGTGGAAGTGCTACAATCAATGCGGGCCCTCGATTTCAGCACCAGGACCCAAGTCACGAGGTGAGCTGACTAACCATCCTATTGGACCTCCCTGAACGACGCCCCTCTGGCACAGGAAGAGCCCCCGATAATTTATAGGAGGTGTTCTGCTGCTTCTCTGCATGAATGGCTGTTCTGGGACTTGCGTGACCCTCTGGGACATAATGCAGTTTCTGCAATTGGGTTCCTGCCTGTATTTTCTGAATTCCTGGCACAGGGTGGCAAGGCAGTGGATTGTTTCTCGGGAGGAGTCTGCCCAGGGGGTCTCTGTATGAGGCCCCGGTCTGTTTTTTTTCCCCCTTTGGAGGCCCATTCGTTCTGTTGGGCTTATTGCGTTAGGCGTGCAGTAACAGTCATTCCCACGAGAGGGATCCTGCTTCCCATAAAGGCTCTCTCGTGGGTTGCAAACTGTCGTCAGAACCGTGCAAACCCCACGTTGCCCCTCCCAGAAGGTGAGCGGCATCGTTGGCCATCGGGGATTAAGGGGCTGGGGATGGGCGCTGAGCAATGAACATCCGTTCGGACTTGCCTAGCATAGTTAACCCATCAGGGTTTTCTCCCCCGTGCCTGATGGGCTTAACCCAACCAGGGAAGAATCCGATCCCTGACCCGTTTCGCCCAGTCCAGCCAGCCACACGCTTGCTTAACTCGATCAGCGAAGGTCAACA